AACCCTAAACCCTAGGTTTTATATAATCTATAATAAAGAAAAAAGAAAAAAGAAAAAAAATAAAAAAAAAAGTAAAAAAAAAGATATAGTAGATATGGAAAGAGGGTCGTACACAGAGACATCAAACCAGAAAACCCCTAAACCCTAAACCCTAAACCCTAAACCCTAAACCCTAAACCCTAAACCCTAAACCCTAAACCCTAAAACCCTAGACCCTAAAACCTAAACCCTAAACCCTATACCTAAAACCCTAAACCCTAAACCCTAAACCCTAAAAGATCGGAAGAGCACACGTCTGAACTCCAGTCACCGATGTATCTCGTATGCCGTCTTCTGCTTGAAAAAAGCCCTAAACCCTAAACCCTAAACCCTAAACCCTAAACCCTAAACCCTAAACCCTAAACCCTAAACCCTATATATAATAGATAATAAATAGTAAATAGTAAATAATAAATAATAAATAATAAATAATAAACAATGATGAATCAATCCTAAACCCTAAACCATAAACCCTAAGTAAAAAATAATAAATAAATAAAAAAAAATAAAATAAAAAATAAAAAATAAAATATAAAAATAAATAATAAACCTTTAGATACTAAACCCTAAAAACAAAAAAATATAAATTATATATATTTTAATATAAGTTATAATAAGTCTATCGCAGTAAACCCTAAACCCTAAACCCTAAACCCTAATTAAACCCCAACGCATGCATCCTACCCTAATATTAAACCCTAAACCCTAAACCCTAAACCCTAGCAGCAAACCCTAATCCCTGTCTGTTGCTGCAGCGCTTATCAAACCCTCACAGCCGCGGTTTCAGTGCGAGTGGGTAAATGAGGGTTTAGGGTTTAGGGTTTAGGGTTTAGGGTTTAGGGTTTATCTTAATTGATTGTTATTTTTTATATATTTATTTATTTGTTGTTTTCTATTTGTTGTTTATTATTTATTTATTTTTTCCTTCTCTTTTATCTATCATTTTATTTTTTTCTTTCTTTTTTCTTTTTTCTTTTTTCTTTTTTTTTTATTTTGTTTTTGTTGTTTGTATAACCATGAAAACCAATATATTATTTATTTTTATTTTTTATTTTTTTTTAATTTTTTTGTTTTTTTCTTTTTCTCTTTCTTTTCTTCTTTCATCTTTGTTTTTTTATTCGTTGTTTATACATATATATACAATATAATAAATATAATATAACATATAAAATATAAAAATAAATAAATAAACAAACAAACAAATAAAAAAAATATACAAACACAAACTCCATACAAACCCTGCACTACGATCAATCCCCCCGCCCCCAAAAAAAAAAAAAAAAAAAAAAAAAAAAAAAAAAAAAAAAAAA